AATGCCACTCCCATCTTTAAAAAAAGTTCCAGAGGAGATCCGGGAAATTACAGGCCAGTCAAGTCTGACGTCGATACTGGGTAAATTGGTGGAAACCATTATTCAGGAAAGAATTAGTAGGCACATAGATGAACAAAACCTATTGAGGCAGACTCAGCCTGGGTTCTGTAAGGGAAGAGCTTGTCTCACTAACTGGTTAGTGTTCTTTGAGGGGGTGAACAAACATGTGGACTAGGGGGATCCAATAGATATTGTTTACCTTGACTTCCAGAAAGCTTTTTGATAAAGTTCCTCATCAAAGGCTCCTAAGTAAGTTCAAAAAACATGGGATAAAAGGACAAGATGCCAATGTTGGATCAGGCCAAAGGCCCATCCAGTCCAACACTCTGTATCACACAGTGGCCAGAAATACCAGTGCCATCAGGAGGTCCACCAGTGGGGCCAGGACATTAGAAGCCCTCCCACTGTTGACCCCCCCAAGCGCCAAGATGACAGAGCATCACTTGCCCCAGAGTGGCTATACCTTGTGGCTAATAGCCACTGATGGACCTCTGCTCCATATGCTTATCTAATTCCCATTTGAAGCCGTCCATGCTTGTAGCCGCCACCACTTCCTGTGGCAGTGAATTCCAAGTGTTAATCACTCTTTGGGTGAAGAAGTACTTCCTTTTATCCATTCTAACCCGACAGCTCAGCAATTTCATGGAGTGCCCATGAGTTCTTGTATTGTGAGAAAGGGAGAAAAGTACTTCTTTCTCTACCTGTTCATCTATGTTCATCTATGTGCCTACTAATTCTTTCCTTAATAATGGTTTCCACCTATTTGCCCAGTATCGACGTCAGACTGACTGGCCTGTAATTTCCTGGATCTCCTCTGGAACCCTTTTTAAAGATGGGAGTGACATTTGCTACCTTCCAGTCCTCAGGAATGGAGACTGATTTTAAGGAAAGATGCTGTTTAACATCTACATGTGCCCCCTTGCCCAGATTGTCCAGAGGTATGGGCTTGGGTGTCATCAGCATATTGATGACACCGAAGCCCATACCTCTGGGTAATCTGGGCAAGGGGGCGCATGTAGATGTTAAAAAGCATCGGGGAAAGAACTGCCCCTTGAGGCACCCCACATTCATGGGGGTGTCTTCGGGACTGCTGTTCCCCTTTCACCACCCTTTGTCCCCAACCATGAAGAAACGAGGCAAGCCATTGAAGGGCGAGCCCCTAAATCCAACCAACGGTTGCACCATCCAGCCCACACTTAACCTGGGGGTGTCTTCGGGACTGCTGTTCCCCTTTCACCACCCTTTGTCCCCAACCATGAAGAAACGAGGCAAGCCATTGAAGGGCGAGCCCCTAAATCCAACCAACGGTTGCACCATCCAGCCCACACTTAACCAGCTTATCCTCAAGGATATCATGAGAAACTTTGTCAAATGCTTTACTGAAATGTCGATACACTATATCCACAGCATTGCCAGTCAACCATTTTGGGAGATAAGGTTAGTCTGGCATGACTTATTCTTGATAAATCCATGCTGGCTACTACCAATTAACTAATTCCGTTCAAGGTGCTCACATGTGTTTCTTAATGTGTGGCAAGATCAACCTGAATGGGTGACCATTCACTAGACATGGAAAGTTAATGTTTACCTTGATAGGTCTGGCATAGATGTAAGAATGCAGATATCTTAGACAAATATATGGAGACAGGAATTAGAGGATTATTCCAAAGGTATTCCCTGACATATAGGTGAAACAGGAGAGGGGGGTGGAAACATGCAACATACTTCATTCATGACAATAGCACAGACCAGAGGCTTTTTATCCCTGCCTGCCTGTACATTTGACAGACAAAAGACTAACCATTTGGTCAGTAGAAGATGCCTGAGGCGGTGCAGAGACTTGCCCATTCTAGTCCTTTTTGGATTGAGCTGACAGGATAGACATGTGGGGGGGGGGTTGCTTGCATGGAGAATGCTTGGCAGTGCAGCCAGCCTGGAGAATTCTCTTTGACCTGAGTTTTCTCAGCCAAGATGTGGTTCTTCTAGCCTCCCAGCAAAAGCCATTGTTTAAGCCAAACCTGACTTCATAGGGCACTGCTTGTGGAGGTTCAGAGGTCGTTTTGGGGTGACTCACTCTTGGGAAAGACAGTTCGGTCCAGTACAACTTCAGGAAAGTGCCCATCCCTAATTGACATTACCCAATCCTTTTAACTGGTGGTGTTGGATGTTGAGCCGAGGGTCTTTTTCAAAGCAGATGCTCTACCAGTCCCTCCCTTGGGTTTTAAATACAAAACTGCAGTACAAACAGTACACAGCTAACAATATTCACACAACTGAAGACATCCTAAATGAATCAATATCCAAATAATTTATTCTTATAAATAAAAGACTGCCGGCTCAACAAAAATGCTTCCAATTCTTCATTAACATTGATTTGTTGTATTTACTTGTGTTACCAGAGGTCATTTCGGGGGGGAACGCGGGGGAACACAGTTCCCCCGGGTGAGGTGCAGGGGGCGGGGCACATGATGAAGCCCCGCCCCCTGCTTCTGGCCGCCCCGCTTCCGGCCCTCATTCAGCCAGGAGGAGGCAGGAGAAGAGAGAGGGTAAGTTGCTTCCTCCCCGCCTCTCCCCGCCCCTGCCTGCCTGGGGCCAGGGAGGGCCTTGGCGGGGCTTCCTCGCACTCCCGCTGCCCTTGCAGGTCCACCGCCGGGCCCCTGATGTCAGGGGGTGTGGCATATGCTAGTGAGGTATGCTAATGAGTTCCCCTAGCTCTTTTTCTATGAAATGACCCCTGTGTGTTACCCATTTCTGCTCAATCCTAAAGTTTAACTAACCATTCTGAGATGGAAAGTAAACATAAGTGGCAGCAGTACTTGGCTACAAAAATTATGTCAGCAAATTCCAGGTCAATTTAAAATACTTATGGTAATCAGTGGACCTTTAGAGTATGGCCCCATACTTAGGTTCTTTTCTTTTTAAAGAAAATTGAGTAAGCCCATTTCATTTCTGAAGATGTTTCATTGGATTTGAGCTGCAGGTATTCCATGAAAAACTTTTTTAAAAATGCTTTTAAAAAAATGAATTATGCTGCTGGCTTAATTTACTTAATCATAGGCTACCCTGTTCTGCCCCCCTTGGTCTTTATGTAAATAAATCAACTTCCAGCTAACTATTGAAGGTGATCCAGAAAAGTGATTATTACTCAAGTTTTTCTTTCTTTTTTTTCCCCAGGAGATGGTCAAGTTGATTTTGATGAATTCATGACAATCCTTGGACCAAAACTGGTGTCATCAGAAGGACGGGATGGTTTTCTAGGAAACACAATCGACAGCATTTTCTGGCAGGTAGGTGGCAAGACTCTGAAAAAACGTGTGCCAAGAAACATGTTGCTTCCCTTGACTCTGGTGGATAACAAAGATTGCTTTCAAGTTGGGAAAGGTGTTTGGGTTGTTATAGGGAAGCAGGATGCTTGCAGAGTGAAGTAATGAGAGCAGAAGGCATTTATTTAGGAAGTTATATTACAAGACATCAGTGATCCTTCTAAGCTGAGTTAGTGTGAGCTAGCTCACAGTTTTTTATGCAGTTGCCAAATTGCTCACTCACAACTTTAATGCCAGTAGCTGACAACGTAGATTTTTTGCTCACATGACTCCACAGCTTAGAGGGAGGATTGCTAGACATGGAGAAGTTATAAGCTACATGGCTGACAAGAAAAGGAGCCAGTGTATGAGAAGAGGGTTGGTTCTAGGTCTTGGTGGGCCAGGGCCCCCTTCCCTTTCCATCCCCTGTGCCCCTGCTCACTACCTCCCCCTCTTTCCCACAGCCCGTCTGCCTGCGTGCTCCTTCCCCACTGCCCACCCATGGCATCTTTACGATACCGTTCACTCACCAGCTTTCCCAAGCACTCACATGCCCTTACCCAAAGGCGCTGGGCAGTTAAAAGGAAACCATATGCAACTGGGTTTAAGGAAAGTTTGTGATAATGGCCTGCCGCCACAGAATAATGTGACCTGGTGGATTCTTGCAGCATCCCTGGTATCAAGAAAATCTCTATCCTGTTTGATTTTTTCATTCGCACCCAGGCTGTGCCCGTGGGGTGCTCTGTGAAGTCAAGAACTGCTGGGTCATTGTTTGCAGTTTTGCAGCCTGGGGAACTCTTGAGCTTGTGTCATTTACTTAACAGCTGGTGGATGTTTGTCAACTGCGCTACAGGTTAGGAAATCCCAGATGTGAATGTCATCTCTCCTGTGAGCTCACTAGGATGGCTTAGCCAGGCTGCTGTCTCTCGGCCTCACTCTGTAAGAATATTAATATTGGCCTAGTTCACAGCATGGTTCTGAGAAATGAAAACCAATAAAAATCAAAATGATTTGATTTTCACAAAGAGTATAACTGAAAATGGAGTTTACATTGCTTGCAAATGAAGGTGTTCTCTCAGCCCAGGCTCTCCATAGCAGATAATTTGCTCCTGATTCTAAATGAGTTTTCAAGTGATTTTGCATACATAGGAATGGCAGCCAGGTAACTTGGCAACATGGTAGCCACTGTTGGAAGCATGGTCACGATGTTGCTGAATTGTCAGGGGTAAATGTACCTCAGCATTATTGTGGGAGAGGGTTCCCAACACTGCCTTGGCAAACACTGAGAGATTTTGGAGAAGTGTACAAGAAGCATGGAGCTTAGGGCGGGGGGTGTGGTGGCACTTCTGGCTCCACTCCAAGCTGGTTCCCCTCGTCTCCGTGGTCTTTACGATGAAGACCAAGGGAGATTCTTAGAGCATCATTATGTGGGGGTCATTTTTTTTTCCTCCTCAGTTCCTCAGGGGCAGGAACTTTGGGTGGGGAACTAGTCATTCTCTCCCCCAGGCAGGTAAGTGGGAGGCCTGTTGTGAACAGATTGCTCACGATTTGAAATTCTTTTTTCAGAGTATGTGGTGCTTTTGCAATATGCTCAAGATTTACCAGATCAAACTACTGCTCTGACATGTCAGGTACAAGAGCACATAACATAAAATTATACTTGATCTTAATAAAGGTTTCAAAAATAATTTTTAAAAAAGAATGATGGAATACAAACACATTCAACATTGTCTCAGCTAGAGAGGCAAAACACGCAGTTCCCCCGCTCTGTACCACTGGGGGAGGGGGGGAGCATGGAGGCTGCGATCAGGGCCCTGCATTTACCCACATGCCCTGTGTCTCGTCTCATCCACTTCTCATGCAACTTTAAAAGCCATCTGGTGTGCTGGCATGCCAGTGTTGAATATGTAACAACATTGAACACATATCAGCACATTTTAGAACCCCGAAGCTCACCGAGCTCAGCCGGGGGTCATACATACTGTCCCAACTCCGACTCCCCAGGACCGACCAAGTAGTCTGCGTGGAGTCCCCCAAATGGTGGCCCCAATCCCGATCCTTGCAGCGGTAGGTTACTCCCTTCCCCAAATGCACTGGGATGGACGACACCACCGGCCGAGGGGTGGCTCCTCCAGGGCTCACAGTCATCAGCGGGGCCGTCGTCACTGGCCCTCCCGTACCCATAGTCGTTAGGGGGAGGACGGGCACCGCCGTTGTGGGCACCGTCGTGGGCACCGTCGTGGGCACCGTGGTAGGCACCGTAGTAGGTACCATGGTAGGCACCCCAGTACCACCAGAACCGCTCATCCCGGTTAGGAGAGACTTGGGCCGATGGACAAAAAGGGATTCCTGACAATTCTGTCAGGGTCAACAGCAAGCAGGTCCAAACACACCCTCCTGAAAAGGCTATGTTTTATTGGAATACTAGTCTGTTGCCAAGTGGTACAGGTACATTGTCAGAAATAACTATTAGTGCAAGGGGCTCCAAAGCAAAGCAAACATGTGCGGCTGCACAAAAGTCAGGAACGAAAGGAAAGAAAGAAAGCATGGCAGCTAGCTGACAAGGGGGAGCTCACCACCTCCCCAGGCAGCTGATTCCACTGCTGCACAACTCTTTACTGCAAAAACATTTTTCCTAATATCCAGCCAGTACCTTGCTGCCCTTAATTTAAACCCAATATTGCGAGTCCTCTCCTCTGCTGCCAACAGGAACAGCTCCCTGCCCTCCTCTAGGTGACAGCCTTCAAATACTTCAAGAGAGCAATCATGTCCCCCCTCAATCTCTTCTTCTCCAGACTAAACATGCCCAAGTCCCTCAGCCTTTCCTCACAGGGCTTCTTGGTCTCCAGGCCACCCCCCCCCCATCATCCTTGTTGCTCTCCTCTGCACCTGGTTCATTCTGTCCACATCCTTTTTGAAGTGAGGCCTCCAGAACTGCACACAATACTCCAGGTGTGGCCTGACCAATGCAATGTACAGTAGGATTATGACATCTTGTGATATGGATGTTATGCACCCCAGTATCACATTAGCCTTTTTTGCTTATTCAAATAGAACTTTGGCCCCAGCCTAACAATGGTAGTTCTAGGGAATACAATAGCTAGTTCTAGGGAATACAAGAGCTAATGAAAACAAACTTTAGTTTATATACAAGCAGAAAGCACTCCCAAAGCCAGTGAGATGGAACAACAATTGGCAGACAGTGGAATTTCTGTGTACAGAAACACCAGTCTGTTTGGCTGGAAGGGGCTTTTGGCTGATTGACGTCTAGGGTAGCCAAGCCCTAGGTGGGACTTGAATATCTCCCAGTATTCCAACTAGATGAGAGAGATCCATTTCGCCTCCTCCCACCCATCTACCCCAACTCTGCCCTCTGCCCACCCAATAGTATCACCCCCCAAATCTCCCAGTGAATCCCAAGGCCATGTTGGGAACTTTGGTGCCCACACAGAATTCCCTCTCATTGCTTTCTAACTTTTTGAGTACCTCATTCACTTTTAGAGACTTAAGGAGAGGACATAAACCTGAACAAGTAACATTTTCTAAAAGGCATCCTCTCTCCCATGGCTTTTGTATTATTCCAGTTTTGACTAATCAGATGTTAAATAGTAGTGGTGGGTTTGGGGAAAAGTAGTAGTTTGGGAAAGAGATGATCTGTGGATTCAAATGGATACCTGAGCCAGATGGTAAGAACTAGAGAGAGGAAGGAACTTCCAGAAAAAAAGAAAGTGAAGAAGAATGTTTGGATTTATAACCCGCCCTTCACTACCCAAAGGAATCTCAGAGCAACTTACAGTCTTCTTCCCTTCCTCACTGTACAACAGACCCTGTGAGGTAGGTGGGGCTGAGAGAGCTCTTTCCAGAACTGCCCTATCAAGGACAGCTCTGACAGGACTATAGCTTGCCCAAGGTCATCCAGCAGCTGCAAGTGGGTGGAGTGGGGAATCAAGCTGAGTTCTCCAGATTAGAGTCCACCAGAGAAAGTGCCAGGGGTATAAAGCATACATGAAATGTAAGAAGGAAGTTGGGGGGGGGAGGGAAAGGAATTTGTCTTGCTGCTAATGATAGATGAGAACAGAAACACACTCAGCTTGCCTTAAAACAATCATTTCTCAGGAGCAGAGACTCACTGTGGAAACCTAGGAAAGCTCAGGGGTTTTTGGAAGAGCACTTTTTGCATGCACTCAAGGGATGCTTACAGACATGCAAACATCACTGCCCTTTGATTAGCAGTGAAAAGTACACAGACAGACGAGTGATTTCAGCTTAGTGTACTTTATTTGGTGTAGAACAAGACAACTTTAGCCGACTCGCAGGCCAGCTTATATCCCCGTGAATCCACCACCCAAAACACACACACCCCACTTCCCAATAGGTCCAAACTAGTGGCTGAGAGTCCCACAGGCTCTCAGACCGGAGCCTAGCCCTCTGATTGGTGCGGCCTAGGATCCATATCGTCCATTGTCTGTCGGAGCGAAGCTCAACGCTTGCACTTGACCACGTGGTGCCCAAGCTGACCATGCGGTCGGGTCCTGATACATTACAAGCAGTAACCTCCAACAAATAACAAACCTTACCTTTGCCAGATGAGGAGTAACTCATAGTAGGGGAGGGCTCGTTAAGCACAATACAGACCTGTCTTTCTTACAATTCATCCATCACTTCCTGCCAAGGTTTACAAGAATGGTAACTTCCTTCACTTGTATATTGGGTCAGGTTTTGAGAGGAGATCATATTTCCCACCAACTCTAGTGGGGCAGGGGGCGTGGCATCGGCTCTAACATGGAGGATGCCGAATGATTGAGCTCTGCATCCCCTTCCCGCTCCCTTGAAGCTTAATGGAGTAAAATCACAAGGGGCTGGATGCAAAAGTATGGGGAAAGCTGGCAGAGTCAAAAACAAAAAGGCTAATATCAGTACTTCAAAACTCAAATATTTTTTTCCGGCTGAGACCGTCAAAGGACTGATACAAGGAGGCTACACTT